GAATGTATCAGTTAAACCCCAAACCACCATTCCGCCGGCATCTAGAAAGAGTTAAAGGATCGGAGAACGAATTCTCCTTTAAACTTGTAGCGTTTCAATCCTCTTCTGGTTTTCCTGAACGGGTTTATTTCAAAGTGTGTTTAACCGTGTGCGCAGTACAATTGGGCTGGGAGGTTTCCTGTTAAGAATAAAAGCGCTAAGCAGATATATTGAGATCTAATAAGCGAACCTCCCCCCTTCCTAGCACCAGTATCTGACCATACTGCCTTCTAGTTCCAGCTTCCAGCAGCATTAGTGATGCTGTATACCCGCTGTGCAACGTGAGGCAAAAGCAGATGAAAGTGATGTCACATTAATGTCAGCCAACAACTCTAGCCCACACAGCCTTGATTGCTCTTATTAATCTTGCCAATTTGTCTGTCAGCACTTGGCTAATCCGTAAATAGCCTTCAACAGGTGCTTTATGCTTCTGCCACATCCTTGCTTCTCCCCTCCCCAATCAGCTCGCGTAGAGGGGGACAGTGACTTTCTCCTCTTGAACGGTGTGGGGTTTTTTTTTAAAGAAAACGTTCAAGCTATTGTTTAGTCTGTGCAGGGGATGCTTTGGTTCTCCTGAAAGGAAGTCATGGCTCAGGGAGGAAATGTTTGAGAAACAATGGGGGATTACCTGCCTGCAATTTACAGGCTGCTTTCACAAATTTGGCAAAAACACAGCTTCATCACAGCCTTCTCTTTTTGCACGGATCTCTCTCTTTTTGTACAAGGGATCGCTGCCTATATATTGCCTAGCTGAGCTAGACCCCATAGTAAACAAGGCTTTAAATAAAACGCGCAATGCTTAGGCGCCCTAACTGGTGACTCCTACCTGGTCAATTTCCCAAGAAGGGTCTGGCTTCCATTTTAAATGGATATCCAGTTTGCTGATGCTCAAATTCTAAACACCACTGGCGGATTCCACGGGCTGTTATTTGTTCTGACCTTTTGTGCTTACTTGGTGCGGACAGTGTTTGGACAATACTCCCCACTGAAGCCGTTTCTGCCCCGAAGATCATACAGCCTAAAGTTATGTTCCCTTTGCCCTGCGTGGATTTTATAGCCAAGATCAAGTAAAAGATCCCGACCAAAGCCGGAGCTAGGGAGAACACATTGTACCCGAAGCAATTTTATCCCACAATTAAACTTAAGGTCAAATATTTTCTTCGCTACGCTATCAGAAATTCCACCGTCTTATTATAGTGTATATTTAGCCATAAAATACGGGTTGTATGGACTCGAGGATTAAAATTATTGTGTTTGTAGGATGCAATCTTGCCAGCTCTGGGATTTAGCACAGTAATCTTAAACACTGGTTTTTACATGTAGGCAGCCCTGTCAACTACGAAAGCTGAATCCAGAGCGCTTTACTCTTGCTACAAACCGATTGTTTTATTTCGCCTTGGCAACCGTTGCTTACGTTAAACGGTTCACACGTACTTTTTAAACACTTTACCTCGTAGCAACCTCCTGTTGCACCTTATCTGGAAAATGCCTCAGTTTGTGAGGATTAGTTTGACACGCTTGGCTTTAGCATCCAGGACTGCTGCTCGTTTTTAAAAGGCGAGGTTGGCGCTGCATTTCTCGGATCCTTTGCTCAGCGACAAGGGAACAGCATCTTTTAAAGTGGTCTCTCTACGGGATCGCTAAGAGACAGGGGAGTCACGGGGGGATGTTTCCAGGCACGTTTCCTAAGGTTTTGGATCATCCACTCTTAGAGCTTTGGGTCAGATCCGAAAAGCCCAAATCCGCGCATACAATAAAATACAACCCCTGGCTGCAAGTTCACGTCTTCACCTGAATTTCCTGTGGGTAGACGGAGCGACTATTTTCCAAGCAATTATTTTATAAAATAAGACGATTAATCCACCTGTTCTGGATTCGACCTGCAGTCTGAGGACATGTCAGGAAACGACTCGCAGCCCTGCACGGTGCAAATATTTGGACGAAAGACAGGTAGGAAGGATTGTCCAAATGTTTACCAAAGGCTGTGGATAGGCTGGGGATTTATAACCATGTATAATCTCTGCCCCCACACAACTTCACTAGCAGGTGCGTCTAGTTTCAATGTGACACATGCTGTGGGTGTGTGGTGGGAACGGGGGAGAGAGGAGAAAAGTTACGACGCAGTTCTAGGCATCCTGATGCACTGTCGTCCCGAGCTTGCTCCCAGTGAAGTCAATGGACAATCTCCTGTTTACTCCAATGGCTACTGGATGAGGGCCAAAGTCAATTTCAATGATTCAAGGTCCCTGTTCGCAATTAAAACAATTACTGGCATTTTTAAACCCAAGCAATGCATCTGTTTGGTCATAACCGCTGAGAAAAGATTACAAAACTGAGCGTGCTTTTAGTCTTGAGAAAAGAAGACTGGGAGCGAGGGGACCTGGTAACAGTCTTCAAATATATTAAGGGTTGTAATAAAGAGGACAGCGATCAGTTGTTCTCCATGTTCCCTGAAGGTAGGACAAGAAGTAACTGGATTAATCTGCAGCAAGGAAGATTTAGGTTAGATATCAGGAAAAAAACTCTGGTTAGATATCAGGATAGGTCAACTCTGGAATAGGCTTCCAAGGGAGGTTGTGGAATCCCCATCATTAGAGGTTTTGAAGGTTGGACAGACACCCATCAGGGATGGTCTAGGTTTACTTGGTCCTGCCTCAGTGCAGGGGGCTGGACTAGATGACTTTGAGGACCTTTCCAGCCCAGCATTTCTACAAATTGTAACAAAATAATTGCTCTGGATTACTTAGGCCTATCAAAATATTTATCACAACACTAACTGCAATATTGTAATATAATTCTCTCTAAACAATATATGTTTACTTTCCAAATGATATGTTAGGATTTGAAATAGACTAGTCGGACAATAGATTGTAGGGAAAAATCAAGGCAAAGAGAGACTAAGGCCCAGATCCGCAAAGGTCTGTAGACTCATAACTTGCCATTGAAATCAATGGATGCTAGTTGCCTAAGTACCTTTGAGGATCCAGGCCCGGGTGATTTGACCAATCATGCAGCAGGTCATTGGCGGAGATGGGAATAGAAATGAGCTCTCCTGACTCCCAGTTCAGTGCCCGCTCCTCTAAGCCATGCTGCCTGGAGAGCAATTATTTTGTCAGCATAAATGTATGTGTGTTTACTGAGAGAATCATTATGATTACTACAGTCATTATCATAGCCACATAGGAATTGTCATACTGGATCAGACCAGCCCATCTACTCCAGTATCCTCTCCAACAGCAGCCAGTCCCAATGCTTCAGAGGGAGGTGCAAGAAATTTACCCATAAGCACTCCTATCAATCACTGGCAGAAAATCACTAGCATGCAAAATGAGAAAAATCAGCATAACATTAAGTCACTCCAGTCTGGCAATTTCCCTGGCCTCATCCCCCTGGTTCTGGTTTTGATGGTTTTACTCTGTGCTAGAAACACTAACATGAATTTAGCATGCAGCAGACTAGAGAGGATTTCAGAGGACGTGCTTTTTTTAGTAACAAACAGCAATCCTATCTGCTGCAGAAAAGCCTTTAATTCATTACAGCCTTGTCCTACCACAATTTGCTGACTGCTCAGATGGGTGGATACAATGGCTCCATTGTTGTGTCTGAGGGAGATCCCATAATTGCACACTGTTGATTAAACGGTATGTTTTCTATTTTGTTATCTGATTTATTTAAACGATTTTTCTAAGATAGGTTTTAAGGGGGGGGGGGGAGCTTGCCCTCACTGTGTTGACAAAATGAAGGAAAATGGCTGAATTATTTATTTATTATGGGGACTGTGCATTTTTTCTCCAGAGCAGGGCTTGAAGAGTAAAATATAGGAGAAGGTATTCAGAACTCTGTCAATTCAGTTTTTGTGCTCAGTGAAGTTTTAATGTATACTCAAGAAATTAAATCCTGGTTTAAATGCAAGTCTCAATGCAACCTCAAATATGGAATCATGCCTCTATAATAACCCAAACTAATCTGGATTTTTCTTTCTCTCTAAACTATGAATTAGCACTCACCTAAACAATGTTCTTAAAGAGCTTCCCAGATTATGCTGTTAGGCCATAGACCGACTCCAAGATAGATAGCTGTGATAGTGCCACAGAGTAACAGTCTGACCTGCTTGTGTAAATGGACACATAAGACGACCCCTAGATCCTAGCCCTCATTGAAGTCAGTGGGAGGTATGGAGCTGCATTGTGGCACTCCCTGTTAGTACCCGGCCCGGGGCCAAGGAAGCTAATGATCCACCAACAGACCAAATTCAGTGGTGAATCCTGGTTACGTGCCACCTGAGGCATGTTGCACATCTTTCTAAGAAGATTGAAGTCAGTGGGAACTTTACTCTGGATTTCAGTGGGAGCAAGTGCAGGGTCTTCTATGGCGAATCACAAAGGTTAACTGTGGCTCTATCTTTATGGCAAGTGCGGCTGTGTTTCTGTAAACATCTGTCTTCATTATGACAAATGTGGTTGAGTTGTGCCTGCTCCACAGCTTTCTTCACAACACAACCATGTATCCACCACTTTCGTGCAGCGAATATTGGCCTCTATGACATGGCTAAGTCGAGGTAAGCGGCTTTGCATCGACCTAGTTGTGGAAATGTCATCACTTAAATTTGGCTCCCACCGACATAAGTGCCTCTCTCGGCGGAGTTAGTAACGTCCCCTCCCTGAGCAGCGTGGAGTCACGGTCAATGTAATGAGGTCACTGCAGGGCCAGTGCAGACGCTGCGTCGACTGTTACTGACTTTCAGGAGCCATTGCACAATGCCCCCACGCTGACAATCCAATCGATACAAGTGCTTCCGGTGAGGACGCGCACCGCCGGCACAAGGAGCCACCTGCACACACACAAGTGGTTTGATAATGGTGGCTGTATGCCGGCGTCAGTTAGGTCGACATAACTTTGTAGTGCAGATGTGGCCACATATCTACAACATTTCTTAACTTTAGGCCTCTATTATGTTCCAGAGATCTGTACATCAGAGGGGACGTGGCAGCCGGGGAGAGGGCCGGAAAGCCTCCCTGCATGGATCACCTCTTCCTTCACTGGATGGGCGATCAGACGTGTAAGCTGTGGTACCAGGATGTGGCCAGCACAGTAAGTGCACCCTAGGGCTGTCCTTCACAGTATGACTCTGTGGGTCATGTGGAAGGACTAGGCTGGGTGAGGAGTGAGCAGGACAGGGTAGTGGGAAGACACATCATCCCCTCACCCAATGGCCCAGCTGAATTCTCTGTGGAGAGATAGTACAGCCCCCCAGCCATATTACCTTTTCTGCACCACAGGCATCTGGGGTGGGAACACAAGCCATGCTTACTGCAAGCCATGACATTAATGGGATACAAAGTTAGAAGTACTGTATCGATGCCTACAGGGGAACCAAATCTCTGTCTTACTTAGCCAAGTAATCCTACTGAGGTCAATGAGACTATTGCAAAACCAGTAGGATTTGGCCCAAGGTTAACTAAAGTAGAAACAAACTAGCTAGAGCTTTTAAATTCACTGAGTTTGGGTTGGAGACTGCAAGTGATAGTTTGTGGTCCAGAGCAGAGTGGTGGTTATATATATTTATTTTTTAAAGGGAACCATTGACAGATGGAAAGGTTTTTATTCCACAGAATTTTACTGACTGCTCTTCCAGGGAACATGCAGAATTTTATGGCCAAATTCTGCACTCGGTTTCCCTGGCGTAAATCCAGGCCTGGGGCTGTATTATCTTATCCGGTGATGCTGTGAAGGAGATGATCTGTGTCCCTGTCCTGTTCCCAGCCCACCCACCCCCTTTCGTTGCCCCAGGACTGAACCCTGAACCTGCAGAGAAACCTGCATAAGGCCTGAGGGTGACGGGGGGAGGCTGGGGGTGGGGAGCAGAAGTCCCATGGAGACAGCTGTGGCTGCTTCCACACAGGGATTTCAGGGAAGCAATCTGGGTATTACAATTGCCAGAGGAGCTCTGTATACTAATAATATTGAAGTCTTTTAATATGGGAGGAAAAATATCTTTCTCGGAAGGAAAGGAAGTTGAGTACAGACTGGGCATAGGTATAAAGCTGTACAATGCACTCTCTCCGAATGTAAGATCATGGTGTATTTCTTGGTGTCACTTGTCTTACTGAGCTGGCTCGAGTTCTGTTAGAATGTGGATTGCTGAAAACTATTCCCCAAGCAATGAACAGTTACAGTCCAATGCATGAACCCATACAAACCATTTTCATTATAGCATGGAAACTGGGCGCACTGAGAGTCAGTCAAAAATAATTTGATGTGAAGTTTCTCTGAGAAATGTTTGTTTTAACTGGCATGGAAGGGCCAAATAACATGCCTTGTTCAAGAAATATCGGCATCAGAGATCAATGAACATGTTGCAGTGACAGACCCTGTATCTACACCTACATTACAGCTGTTTGGAAAATGTTTTTATTATTATTATTATTATTCCACAAGCCTCCGGGGCAGTCTCCCAGCACTTATGTGGCTGATAAATGATGTTCTCATTGACCTCGGCAGCAGCACTGGGCATAGGTACTGGAACTAGGGGTGCTACCGCACCCCCTGGCTTGAAGAGGTTTCCATTATCTGCAGCGTTTCCAGTTTGGTTCAATGGCTCTCAGTCCCCCCCCCATTATAAAAGCTGTTTCAGCACCCCTGGCACTGGGGCAATATTTTCTGGGGCAACAATTAATTGCTCTCGAACAATTTCTTCACTGTATTATGAATATATTCCATATGGTCAGGCTACAAAGAGTTCCTCACTAGGGACCATTTTTGATTACCCCATGGCACTAATTATCTGCAGTGCATTGTCAATGTGCATTTTACAAGTGTACTTCAATAGCAAGACTGTAGAACTGGGAGTCAGGCATTCTCATTTCCATTCTTCGGTCTGGCTCTGGGACAAAACACTTCACGGTCCCTGCGAGTCCATGAAATTTCCTCTTCTGTAAAGTGAAGTATTAATATCTACCTTGCAAGTGTGTTGAAAGGCTTAATGAATGAATGTTTGAAAAGCATGTTGAAATTTTTGGTACCTCACTGTAGAGTATTGAAAACTGGTTGGAGCAGGGGCTGTCATTTACTAGGTTTTTATGTTCCCTGCACCATTAGGTCTCAAAACCACAGCCACAATATAAACAATACGTACTAATAAGGATGATGAGGTCTAAACTTAGGCTCATGTTAAATATACTGATTCAAATCTTAGTTCTTAAGATGTTGTTGAAGTTAATATAAAATTTAAGAAAAGAAGAGCAGAGATGAAGACCTTCTGAAGCACCTTCTATAGGCATCCTGAATTATTATTACTACCTTGATATTTATCAAGTCTTTTTTTCCCCCACACCTAGTTTTCCTTTATTTTCATAGGGCTTAAAGACCAGATCTTGCACTTGCAAAAGACAATGCAAAACGTCTCTTGTCTTCAGTGAGTGTAGGTTTAGGTCATGTTGTGGATAAGGGGGAATACTGCAAAAAACATTTACAAAATTTTGAATGAAACCCACAAGTTAATTCCAGCGGCCTTTGTGATCGGCAGTGTTGCCTGCTAGACAGACCACTAGACTGGGACTCAGACTTGAATTCTATTCATGTCTCTGCCACTGGTCTGCTGGATGACCTGGGGCAAGACACTTCGCTGCTCTGTGCCTCAGTTTCCCATCCCTAAAATGGGGATAAATGCTGCAGACTCTCCTTTGAGGTCTATTGATGAAAAGCACTATATAAAGCTAGGCATTGTTATTTATTCACTTCCCATGAACAATTGTACCAGTGGAATTCTATTTGCAAGAATGCGCCTTCCTGCTGAAGATGACGTGTTGCCCTTCTACAGATGTTCTTCTCCGCTAAATGCATCAAGACCCTGATCGAATGCCCACCTGAAGTCACTAGGAATCTTTCCTTTGATTTCAATGAACATTAGATTGGGCCCTATCGTCAATTCCCTCCTCCTTACCCCCTAGTTTGTGAGTTCTAAAATAAGGCACCTACATCCAGATTTAGGCATCTGAACATCAGGCCATCATTTAGAGGTGCTGGGCACCCACCACGGCTAATGAAATGAATGGGAGACAATACCTAAATATGGATTTAGGTGCAACATTTTCAAAAGCACTTTAAGTGACTTAGGAACCTGCTCCATTTTTAGAAGTGAAAGTCAATGGGACTTAGGTTCAAAAGTGCCTATGGGCCAGACTTTTAAGGGCATTCCCATTGCACTTCTGAAAATCCCACCAGTTGCCTATGTATGTCTTTAGGTGCCTAAATACCTTTAAAATTCTGGCCCTCCGTCACTTTTGAAAATGGGGCAGGCTTCTAAGTCATTTGAAAATGTTACTTTTGGTGTCTTAAGTTAGGCACCCAAGTTTGAAAACTTTAGCTTAAGACAATTTCTTGCCTTACATAGCTCAAGAAATATTCAGCGCGCTAATATCGGTTGCATGGAGCCATGCTTATGTCATTACTTTAAGTTCATTTAGCTATGGTTCTTGTTAGCTACTTGATTATTGCATGAGGTAATATAGTTACACAGGGTTTGCCGTGATTTAGTTATTCATTTCAGTGATGCATAATATAAAAAAAGGATAAAACAAATTGTCTCCATAAAAACAGAAAGCCAGCAATGGTTTCATGTCACATTTTAGCAAAAACATCTGTAATTGTCCCCACTCACTGAATGTGAAGCATTAATGGTCATCCTCCACTAAACTCAGTTTCAGCTCTGCTGTGCATTAGGGAAGGAAAAGTTAACACAATCCCAGACAGAAAGACATTGAAACAAGCTGCCCTTTTCTCTTCTTGTACTTTCGTAATTCTGCCACAAACCGTTTTTTCCCCCCTCTTCTTTACAGGTTTTTGGCCAGCCATCTTGACCTACTCTGAGGAATTTTCGTGCATGGGGCTTTGAATTTGCAAGCGTGCTGTGTATATAATCTTTCTCTGAAGTTCTTCTACAGTATAGTAATAGAGAAAGAATGATCGTATGATACGCTGCCCAAAGAATATTCAAAATGCACAACTTTTAGCTTCAGCCAATGGTGGTTATCAAACGGTAGTTGAACTCCATATATAGGTTTCCCTATTTTCTCTGTGTAACTGTGGGGCACAAGGGTCAGTTTTATTTACCATTACGTGACTCCAGTTTTACCTCAGTGTGGCTCTCCTGGTTTCAGTAGTTCATACTGGGCTTGAGCTACTGCTGGGATAGCAATCTCATCACCTCAGTGGTGCACATTTAGGGTGGACCTGTGGAGATTCTGGAGTACTAACTAGGCCTCCTTTGATTGCTGGGCAGACCAACCCAGCCTTTTTAATGCATTCTCATCAACTAGGACAGATCACAAATAATGGGTCATCCCCTCACTAGTGGGAGTGGGATGGTTGCCCCTTAATCCACTACACTTCTGTTGGAATATCGGTATAACAAAATGTTGTATGTTTCTCTTCCTAACTCCTAGTGTATATTGATTGTATCAGGCTGATAATGAGATGAGCCTCACTAATTGTAATGCTAAGTTGCAACCATTTTTCTTCTCAGAGATCTGTGAGTATGGAGGGCCTGGGGTCACATATATGCACTGACATCCTCCCTGTTCTCAGTTGTCTGGAGAAACTGCTAGATTGAGTTTTTGCAAAACAACATGCAGGAGTGATAAAGAAACAATTCAATATTTATTTCTGCTAGGCTCCTAATAGACCTCTTGTATGTACTCTGGCATTTGCTCTCTATTACACTTTCTTTGTTAGTTTAATCTTGTTGTACTGAATGCTTAACTACTTTTTCCTTTCAGTGCCTGTGGAAATAAACTCCATGATTTAATCAAATTCCATGTCTCCGAGATTTTTCAAATTTGTTGCCATGACCATTAACGGGTTAGGTGAGAATGAGCATAATCAGTTTATAAATGAGAAAACTGAGGTGCAGACATTAAAGGCCACATTTAAAACAAAAAATGGCCTCGAGTTATATACCTGAAATGTTGCACTCATGGTGAATGGGGAGAAAGGGACTGAGAGATGGTCTCAGGCATGTATATAATTATGCTTTACATTTACATAGTTTTTTTTTCATTCACGCATCTCAAGGCCTTTTATGAACATCAATTACAGGTATGTAAATGTCATTAGCTCTTTATATAGATGGATAAACTAAGGGGCAGATATATTAAATAACTTTCCCATGGCTAAAAAAAAAGTCAGTGGCAGAGTTAGGCGTAGAACCAAGGAATAAGACTGGGGTTCTAATTTGAAGATCATCACCTTTGAAGATATACACCTTGGGTATATCTTCCATGTCAAGGCTGAAAAGTAGTGCCACAAATTAGAGATCTGGAAGATGGATGATGACTTTTGGAAGATTTTTGGCCCTAGGTGCACTGATATTCTGCAGGTCTTTAGGACTTTTACTCAGCAGAGGTTGATCTGACTTCAGTTTGGTTTAAGTTACCAAAGTTACCCACCCGATTAAAGTACAGTTCATAATATGGTCTATGGCTAGCTCTTTCTTTGATAATTCCTTTTTTCCCATTTGTTTATCTCAAGGAACTGTGCTTTGTTTCAGGCCCAAACCAAAAAGTCTTTCTACTCTGTTCTCTCCTTGACTTGTTGCAGATGTATTGAAATAAATCTTTAGAAAGAACAAACCTTCGTTTCCTCTCTCCACCTGATGCAGTCACAAATTCCAGGAAAGAAAAATAAATCACAATCTTAGCTCACGAAGTCTTGGATGATACCATGTCTACTTCTGCAGTCCACCATTCAAATGAAAATGTGCCCATCACCTCACAAACTAGAGCATCAGCCTAAAATATCAAATTCTAGCACACAAACACACCAAGCCAAAATAAAGCAAAAAAACATTCCCTTGAGCCAGAAGGGATTTCTAGAAGGCCAGCTAGTCAATTATTTTGGATCTTTCCCAATAAAAAATGGGGGCCCTATGTGGTCTGATAGTGGGACACAGACCTTATAAGCACTAGCTCCCTGTTCTGACTGGCCCAAGTCAGCAGTGACCAAAAGTCACTGAATATATGAATATTGTTGGTGGCCTGTGTGAAATGAGTTGAATGGGTGTGTCTCATTCCAGTTCCCAGTGGAAAGAAATCGACACCACAAGAATGACTATGGCAATTGTCAGCCTAGTTGTAAGTCCCAATAGAGAGACCAATGACTGAAGGGGTATGAAGCTGGAGTTATCCTGGCATTCCTATGGGCTCTTCTAGCATAGAGTGGTGGACACACAGGCAAGGAAGTTTGCATAGAATTATAGAAGTGTAGGGCTGGAAGGGACCTGGAGCAGTTATCAAGTCCAGCCCCCCATCCTGAGGCAAGACCAAGGTGACCTAGACCATCCCAACAGGTGTTTGTCCAGCCTGTTCTAAAATACCTCCAATAATGGGGATTCCACAACCTCTCTTGGAAGCCTATTCCAGAGCTTAACTACCATTATAATTAGGACATTTCCCCTAATATCTAACCTAAATCTTCCTTGCTGTAGATTAAGCCCATAACTTCTTGTTCTACCTTCAGTGGACATGGAGAAAAATTGATCACAGTCCTCTTTATAACATATTTAGTCCTTAACATATTTGAAGACTTATCAGGTCCCTCCCCAGACTCTCTCAAGACTAAAACATGCCCAGATTTTTCCATCTTTCCTCATAGGTCAGGATTTCTAAATCTTTTTTTCATGTTTGTTGCTTTCCGCGGGACTGTCTTCAATTTGTCCATATTTTTCCCTGGAGCATTGCCACTAGTAGCTCTACCAATTACTCCAGGCCTTCAGTCTTCCCACCTGACACTCTTCACCAACAGTAAAAGTCCCTTAAAAATTAAATCTACTTTAAAAAAAATCAACGGCATAGTGTGTTATTTTAATAAAAATGCTTGGAGGAAATACGTAGAAATATTCTTCCAATAGGATGCATTCTATTTGACAAAAGGCATATCTGTATGAAATAGTTGCAGTGGTATAATTTACAGTGCAAATGTAATATGGTGAAACCCTCATATGGCCACTCTTATGCTGGTAGAAGAGTGCCATTTTTTGGTTTAGTTTAAGTTGACTAGGAACAGGTTTAAGTTAAATCAAACTAACACCTAACTCTGACATAGCACTTTTCATCTGTAGCTCTCAAAGTGCTTTACAGAGGAGATCAGTATCATCACCCCCATTTTACAGATGGGAAAACTGAGGGAGAGAACAGCAAAGTGACTTGCCCAAGGTCACCCAGCAAGCCAGTGGCAGAGCCAGAAATAGTACCCAGGTCTCCTAAGTCAGTGGTTCTCAAAGCCGGTCCACCGCTTGTTCAGGGAAAGCCCTTGGCAGGCCGGGCCAGTTTGTTTACCTGCCGCGTCCGCAGGTTTGGCCGATCGTGGCTCTCACTGGCCGCGGTTCACCGCTCCAGGCCAATGGGGGGCTGCAGGAAGCGGCGCAGGCCAAGGGATGTGCTGGCCGCCACTTCCCGCAGCCCCCATTGGCCTGGAGCGGTGAACTGCAGCCGATCGGAGCCGCGATCAGCCGAACCTGCAGACGCAGCAGGTAAACAAATCGGCCCAGCCCGCCAGGGGCTTTCCCTGAACAAGTGGAAGACCGGCAGACCACTGTCCTAAGTGCTCCTAAACTGAAATAAGAGTGTCCACACAGGAGTTTGCACCGTTTTCATTATATTGACAAGGCTCCAAGGCTCTCATGTTGACCAGCCCTTAGAATGTGTAGCCAGCTCTTCAGCTGATGTGAACTGGGGCAGCTTAAATGGGGGTATGCAGCTTCACATCACCAGCCCTTTGTTATCCCTTGGGGACTACCCAAAGAGAAATACAGACTTGTAAACTGCATTTATTTCAAAGATGTGTTGGGTGCAGCCTCTTGTGCCAGATCTTCACTCTTGAGGGATGAGCTGAATGTTTTGTTACAAGTGACATTGACACATGCTAAGCAATTATGACAGTTACGATTGAGGAAAGTGTAACTAGAAGCTCTGAAAACGGGAAGAAATTAACTCCAACCGCAGACCATCAGTCAGACTATTATTTAATAATACTTCCCAAATGTGCAAAGTACTTAGTTTTAGAATAACAGGAAAGAAGAATAACTTTACGCTGAGTGTTACGATATTGCTCGTGAAGCACGCATGAGAAACATGAATGACTGGGGTCATGCTAATGGTGGTACTAAGTAATCACCCCCTCTTCTCTCAGTTTGCTGCCTTGGAAGGTTTTGGAAGGGGAGGGCAAGTGTACTCTCCCCTAATTATGTGTATAATAATAATTGGTATTAACTGTGCTCACATAGATGGGTCCTAGCTCTTTGCTATGAAATGCTATTATTCATGAACTTTAACTCCAGTATTGGATGGAAGGCGGCTAATGGTAAGAAGCAGGCCAGAGGTCCAACAGGAGAATAACAGGAGAGTTGCTGCAATTTCCAACATGCCAAGGAAACCACTAAGAAATTGCTGTTTTCCTTCTCCTACAGGAGCAGGCAGGCTTGTTGACTCACTAGTAGCTACAGAAGGCCTGGCTAGAAAGAGATCATTGTGATCCCTGTCTGTTTCTTTCTCTGCTACAAAAGGGTCCATTCATATGGGCTAATTTTGAAGGGAGGGCAAGGGATATCACTAGCATGAACTGGATCTGAGCACTTCCACCACAATTTGGAAGACTGGGCTTCAAGGCCTGTTCAACCTGTGGAAATATTTTTCTTTTGAGTGGAATCGTTCATTTGATGCTGAGCAGGGGTATCTTTTCCGACAGTTGCCTGTTCAAAAATAGTCAAAGAGGCAGAAGAGTGTCCTTGCAGGAAAAGCAATGGATTAATTAATAGGAATGAAACCAATATTATCCTCCAGGCACATGGGCATTTTTATTGTGCTAGTCCAAAAAATTAAATAAATCCCACAACCCCCCTTCTGTCCAAAAATGCTGAAACTTTATTTCAAAGCCGGAATGAAAACGGATTTTTGAAACGCAGACGTGATTCCTGATACACTTAACCACTAGTCTTCATAGAGCACAACTGGGGCTGTCTGTGTGTGGGAAGATCTACAATGTAATTGCTTTCGGCAGAATATCACCGCACTGTGCAATTAAAATATAAGAGGCTGCCAGTTTCAAATTTTTTAATTGATTTCATCTGCATCTAGGGGATTAAGTCCCTTTGAGCTGCTTACTGATACTTCTATTTTTGGTGCACAAAATGGTTCCCAATTCCAGGCAAGAGGGAGAAGAAAAAAAGATCTGAGTTTTGCAACTGCCTATACTTCTAACAGCATCCAAGAATGCATCTGGAGGTTAGCGCAAAGGCTTTGGGCAAACCGAATGTGCGTGTTGCTTAGCTGGTGAAGTCCTTTGTGAAAGCAGCTCACAACTGAGAGGGCTGAGGGCTGAAAGAAAGGAAGGAAAAATGAAAAAAAAAAAGTGGGGAGAGGGAAAGACCTGCAGAAAAATTTGACACCTCCTAAATCAGAGTGACAATTTCAGCACAGTGTTTACACACGGTGGTAAAACTAAATTGTCTGAGACTGATTGTGCCCACATGTCACTTGTTATCCAGCCTGGGTTTCCTTGAATATCAGAAACTTAATACAAGGAAACACATGACAATTAAAATCAATATAATCATCAAAAGGACAGAATCAGCAACAAGACTTTTTTTAAAAAAAGTTTTAATAAGTGAAAACAGTGGTAGAGAAGGGAAGTGTCGGTTGGTTGGTTGGTAGACATTCCTCCACCCCACCCACACAAAGAAGTCAGAAAGAGAGTAAGTTTCAAGGCAGGAGTTGAATAGGAATCACAATGGGGAATCTGAATAAGGACAAGTACAA